CAAGGCAAGGCAAAGCAAAGCAAAGCAAAGCAAAGCAAAGCAAAGCAAAGCAAAGCAAAGCAAGGCAAAAACATTGTAAAGTTCACTCTTCAGTTAAGCAAGACTCAGCCCTGATTTGTGTGTGTGTTGGTGTGTGTGTGTGCGATGTATAAATAATCCTAATAATTAGTTCATGAGCAGCTCCCGGCAGTGTGTAATCAACCGAATGAGCAACAGGTGCATGTGAACGGTGCATGACTGGATATGTAGTTCTTTAAAGTAGCAGATTTGTAGTTCTTCAGCAATCTGCACAGGCAGTTGTCATATAGATGTTTTTTTTTTTTTTTGTAGCCATGTTTTCAGACATTTATATTCATTTTTAGACAACACAATACCAATACCATGCTCTAAATAACAATATTTTTATTTGAAATTTGAAACAAGTATCATAATACCTTTATATTAAATAAATTAAATCCCCAAATAATCCAAAGTAACCACATGATTGATTTTGTTAGCTCACATTGCTAGTTTTGTGGTGTTCTCTAAACTGCATCACAATATGAAAAAAATAACAGTCACAGCTTTCGTTTCATGGGGACTTTGATATTTTAATCAAACCCCAAAGTTATAAATACTAAGAAATGGATGAATTTCAATATCTGTACATGTTTTTTTTTTATTATTACCACAAATGATGCCATCATTTACTCGTTTCTTCTGTTAAACACAAAAAAAGATATGTTAAAGAAAGTTAAAAAAAATGCATTGACTTTCATAGTATCAATGACCAATTGTGCTTTTTTCAAAGATATAGAATATCTTAAAATATCTTTTGTTTGTGTTTGACAGAAGAAAGAAACGTATAGTTTAGACCCATTTGAGTGGACTTCTTGGACATACAAAATCCTTCAAAAATCACTATATTATTAATTTATTGATTATTATTATTATTATTATTATTAATAATAATAATAATAATAATAATAATAATGGTAAAAGTAATAAAAACAATAATGACTGGAGTAATAACTTTAAACTATAATAAAAAAGCAGTTATTTCAATTTTTTATTTAACAATTTAATGATTTCTTTACATTTCTTACATGCCGCATTGATGAACAGATTAATAATAAAAAGCATGAAAAAAAACCTAACCCCAAACTTTTGACTGGTAGTGTATAAATTGATCTTTACATGTGCATTGTTACATTTTCACATTTTAGCTTAAGGTGTCACATCATGCATCAGAAATCATTTCACAACGCTAAAAACTGAGACTATAACATGATTCTGGACCTCTGGAAACCACCGACTGTTTTGTGAGATTTTGAGTGTGCTCAGATCTCATCAAGACCATTCGGAGCCGCACCGGGGCCATTCGCCATTAAGACATCTGTTGCAAGCGTCACTTCAGAGGTTTGGTGCTGTGCTCAAACGAGCAACCCATCAACACTTGCTCAAAATGTCAGTTTGACATGCTGGCTCCTCAGGATAGCTGTCACTGTGTGTGATTTAGAATGCGGCTGTACAGAATTTATGACCTGAAAGAGCATATTTAAGTTTTGTGGGCATATATCTGTTACATACATAGACTTACTATAATGATAGACTTTGATTTCATAACAGACTTTGATTTAATAACAGAGTTAATTATTATTATTTTTTTTTTGTATGAGTTTCAGAACATATTCTTAAAATCAGACATTGATGTCTTACGGTTAAATTCACTGTAGTGATTTTGATTGAATTGTGTTTATTACAATATAAAAATAGGCTACATTGCATGCATCTCCTCACAGTTGAAGCACTGCTTGTTAGATGATGAATATCAGTGAGGAAAGAGTTTATTTTTAGACTTATATGTTACCTTTAGATAAAACAGGCTTTTTGAAGAGGTGATTTACTGACGCTTTATGAGTGCTATATTGAGCCTGCAGGCTCCAGTTATAATCACCAACACTACAAAGTGCAAAACAGCGTGTAATATTTGAATAAAATAACTTTATAGCAGATACTATATCTACAAGCAGCTCATTATGATGCAGAATATCAGAGAATATGCCCATTTGTGGTGTTTTTTATGCTTCTGTGGAAGTATATGCTATTTTGACATTTTGATCCAAGATGAAGCAAATACAGTACATGTGTGTGGAAATTTCTCGCATTATTATGAAGATTCAGTGCATAGGAGGTTCAATTTATGTGCAATCCCACACCAAAAAAAATTATTATTATTTTAGTAAGGTGCTAGAAGTGTCCTAGAGTATGTCCTTGCACAAACTCTACATTGGTTCCTAATTATCATTTGCTGTCACATTCTGGATGTCTATAACAGGGTGAAACTTTCAACCTACAAGGACGTCAATGATTAATGTATCTCTGTCTCTCTGACCATAAGAGATAAAACACCTGTTATCATTTATAAGTCATCAGATCACACCAAAAATTTGGCTAATATCATCATGTAGCCTGAAGCAAGCATATAAGTAAAGAGACTACATCGCAGAAATAAGTTTAAAATTGGACACAGTCTGGTATAAACTACTCAACAACTGCCGAACGAATGCAAAGTTGAAGTGAAAATCCCTTTTTAAAAATAGCTGTGTCATATTTTATGATTTAACTGGATGACAAATGGTGTCATGTTTATTGTGTGTACTAGGCAAGACTGACATACACTCCAGTAAGATGACATCTGAATGAATAAACACAAATTTTTACTGTCATGCAATGCTGACTGCTTTTTATAAATACAGACTTGTTCCTATATCCAGGTAGGGACTCTCATAGATGTAATAATGTTCCTGCTATACAAACTGGATGTTCTATCCCTCTACTCCTAAATCCAACCCTCACAAAAAACAATCAGCATTTTTACATTTTCTAAATACCTCATATGGTGTTATTGATACACATGTTCACTCATAGGGACCGAAATTTTGCTCGCCACGGTGACACAAGTTCCCATGTGTTTCTTTGCAATCAGATTTAAGCCCCCACTGGGATTTAATAACAAACACACACCCACACTGTTCTCTTATTTTGACAATTTTTGTCAATTTAGTCATTGACCAAATTAATCTTGGCTTGTGTTAACTAGGCATGGGACGATTTACCGTTTACCGTGTTTTGAAAAAGTCAAGGTTTTAAAACCACAAAAATGTTCTGTTATACCAGGGGTGTCAAACTCAATTCCTGGAGGGCCGAAGCCCTGCACAGTTTAGTTCCAACCCTGCTCCAACACACTTACCTGTAGGTTTCAAACAAGCCTGAAGGACTCAATTAGTTTGATCAGGTGTGTTTAATTAGGGTTGGAACTAAACTGTGCAGAGCTGCGGCCCTTTTGGAACTGAGTTTGACACCTGTTGGTTATACCATTCTTAAGGTACATATAGTTTTTTTTTAAATGTGTTTCTGTGTTATTTAAACTAATAAAGACAGCAAAAGTCAAGGATCTATTTCAATTGTTTAGTCTGACATGTTTACTGTTGCAAATTATTAGTGGGGTTTGCTTCCACTTTTGTTAATCTTCATATTTATTCTTCTTCTTCCTTCTTCTTCTGTGCGTTTTTTGGGCGCACAACTAGTCCCACAGCTTTCACCACAGACCCTTGAAAGTACTGTCAAATTGTGCGGTTTTATCAAGAGTATGTATCTATGACTTTTATAAGGGGTCTGGGTTCCCCCATAGACATAGCATAGGGACGAACTTTTTATAAATCATAGCGCCAAGTGTGAATTTCGTGGAATTATGAGATTCACAACATCTTAAATGGGTTGCAAGGACGTCCCAAAGTTTCCCATTGACTTAACATGGGCCATTGAAATCCATTCAGTCCCATTGACTCCCATTATAAATGTCACACATCAAAAGCATTACATAGGATTGTCATACAGTCATAGGGGTGGGCACATTTGACTCAGGCAACTAAACAGGGTCTCAGTATGATAATGAAGCTCTCAGGCCACGCCTCCAAACTGATCCCATAGTCTGCCATTAAAAAAGGTCCAGCTCAAGCCAATGCAAATCATGTTAGCATGATGCTAACAACCCAATTAGCATGTTGTTAGCATTATGCTAACACAATTAGCATCATGCTAGCTCGCTCCCTGCTAATCATGTTAGCATCATGCTAGCAACTTGATTAGCATGATGTTAGCATAATGCTAACACAATTAGCATATATATTTTACCCTAGCGAATTGTTATGGGAAACCCCACTCACGTTTTCTTTAGGAAATGTACAATTCTAGTTATAAATGTTTCCTAAAATAAAATATACTGTATTTTGTTTAATTGGGAAAAAAATTGTTTTCAGAGCACTAATCACAATACAGTGAAACCGGGATATTTTTATCCAATGTTATTATACTGTGAGAAACTTATGTTGACTTGCAAATTTATGTTAATCAATGCAGCACAGTGTTTGATTCATAACATTTTTTTTTACAACTATTTTAAAAGCACTTTGTTTGAGGACCAGTTCAAACTCTCACAGTGTTTTCTGTCTGTTTGTGTGTGCTTAGAGTAGCTCAGTAAAAAGGCTACATTGACTTTGAAAGTATAGGCTCCCGCTCTGTTTTACCTATCTGTTCATCTGATACCCTTTTAAAAGAGTAGGTCCCTCAGGGAAGACTGTTAATACATCTTAAAATGCCAAAACGACCTCTTTTAGTCTTATCTGTTGATGCTCTAACATTTATTGTAGAGAATGAACATGTCTGGGGTTAAATGCAAGATAAATTCAGGCTTTCTAACACACCTAACAAAAAAATCACATCAAATATTGTGATAAGAATTCATTACTGGTCAGATCTGTTTCTGGGTTCTTCATTATATCGGATATATAGACACTGATATCTCTGACTTGTCTTAATGCTGCCGTCTCCATATGTAATGATGTCAAGGCTTGGCTTTTATGGTGTCGTGTCATTCGCAATTCATGCCCCATAAACTGAAAGATGACAGTATTCGGTGTGCATGGATTTATGTCTTTGTACTTTTCTTCCTGTTATAGAATAATACATCATGGAAACCAGACACCTGTCAAGACTGCATCTGCTACAATGATATTGTCATCTGCAAACCAACGCGCTGCCGAAATCCCCAGTGTGACTTTCCGAGGGTAAGAATGAAGTATTTGCTCACAGGCCATTAAAACAGGGCAATAACAGTGCCTGGATAAATGAATGCATTGGAATATACACAGCCAATTAAACATTAATGCTTTCAGTCCAATTAAAAGCAACCAATACTAAGAAGCAAATGGTTCAAACCACGAGGGCTCTATCAAGTATTTCTGTCAGTATTTGTTAACATTATTGTTCCCAAAAGGTTTCTAATGGACTTCATTTACAGATACAACAGTTAGTTTTGGTCCTCGGATCGAATCACCTAAATGGTGTTTCAAGAGTGTTTGTATATTTCATTGTCTGGTATAAACATTTGTGTGTGGAAAAAGTAACTGTGAGTTAGTCATTTAAAAATCCATAAATATATTCTGAAAGGATTCTTTATTTGCATTGATGGATCCATAAATAACTTTAACATCTATAGCACATTTCAGCTCCAAGGTTGTTTTTGGTGTAAAAATGTTTTACTAAAATATTATGAGCTGTTCACTGAAACATTTTCAGGGCAATCTCTTCTATGGCTTCACTGCAAAAACATTCTTTTTAAAACTTTATTTTCAAAATTAATGTGCTAAAATGTGCCAATGAATGTGCTAAAATAGTTATGTAAATATACTTATAGGATGTTTTAGGGAATAAACATTGGTCCCTATAGAAGTGTTTATCTTGTGGAGATGTCAAAAACACAATGTAATTAAATTACTGCCATTAGAACAAATGAAAAGTGTGTTTTAAAAACATTTTTTTCTTGTACAGTTCATATGTAACTGTACACAATTGTAAATTTTGTAGTACAAAATAAACAAAAATAGCAATACGACAGACTAATAGAGATCTTGAAAAATACAACTGTGCATAACAAAGTAAACTGTAAATCTAAAAATAAAATCTCATTCAAAATATTAATGTATACTTAAAGGTTACTTTGAAAAAAAAAAAAAAATTTATAATATATATTATTAATAATAATATTCACACACACACACACACACACACACATATGTTCAGGGCTTGATCTTAACTGGAATGAGTTGCCGTTGTATATTAGCCAAGCCTCTTCCATTATTGTTTTTAAATCTCTTCTTAAAACACATGCATGAGATGTTGACATTTTATGTTTATTTATTTATTTATTTTATTTCTTTATGTACTTGCTGTGCTTTGTTTTACTCTCTATTGTCAGCACTTTGGTAAACTGTGTTGATTTAAATTGCTTTATGAATAAAATTGAATTGAATTAACTTTTTTGATCACCAGCCAACATTACAAGCCACTCACCATTTCCACTAGCCACAATTTAGTTCGTTAGGAAAATATATTCTAAATGCAGAACTTTAACTTTGGCATGCTAAAATGACTAATAGATAAATTATAATTAAAATGACTTTTTTGAGTTTTCCACATGCCTGCTCGTTCATTTAACTTTTTTGTGCTGTATATGATCTTGCTCAATGAGCATGAGGAAATGGGTTGTGGTTTTATAGTGTCGCATTCTAATTAGTTTTTTTTTTCAAATGACTTTTTTCTATAGCCACACCAAAAATAAAAAAAATTAATTAATAAAAAAATATTATATATAATTACACTCGCATCACATCACCTGAAATCAGCCTTGACACCGAAGCCCTTGTCGGTGCATCAGGATTGCCTGTGCACGTGATCATCCTCTCATATGGTATTCACCTGGTTTCTTTTGCTCACGCAAACAGTTATTATTGTCATCTTTCATGCTGGCCCCTCATTAAGCAATCCTTATTGTTGAACTCTACTTTTTAAGAAAACTACAATTTAAAAATTCTCTTCAACCAGCCAAAGTGGCTTTTGGGAGTGACTGTCTTACCCACCACAGCTGAAATCTACCCATATATCTACCATATTTAACATATAGTCAATGTCAGCAAGGTTACAAACATATAGTTGCTTGAGTGATAAAATGTTGAAGCATATAAAAAATAATATATAAGCATTACTGTTGTTACCGTAGATTCATTATTATTTCCCTTTGGTTCTGAATTAAACCTTTTCTGAAGTGATCAGTAATTTTTGAAAACTCATCATGTGCTTACTATCTTCATTTAAAGCTATGTTTTGCATGCTAATCCACCTCTCTCTCTGGATGTTTTTCTAGGGTGAGCGTTTAAGAATCCCACCTAACAAGTGTTGTCCTGAATGCTTTGCGCCGTCGCCCGGCATCTGTCACCATGAAGGACTGGTTTATGGGGTAAGCAACGCTGCTTATGATGACACAGCTCCTCCACTGAAAGATGCTAAAAGCCTCATCCTGTCCCTTGGCGAATCTTCCCACTTTTTTTGCTTGAGCACCAGCGGCTCGTTGATTGCTTGATTTTGTGCACAAAAGCGTTCTTGTTTGTGTTCCACTCTTCACAGACAGAGAGAGCTTCTCTTTTTGTCCCAATCACCCCCTTTTTTAAAGAGCCACTTGATGCTGTGTTTAAAATTCTAGCAGCGTAGCTTCCAAGTCAAGTAGCATTTACTTTTGGGAGCAAACTGTGTTGGCATTGGGGCTCTGAACAATAAATATTACAGTTTAAAAGTCAAGCCACCAATGATATAAACACGTCGCTTTAACCAGGTATTGATCTACTGCTCGTTCTCTCCTCAGCATGATAGTCAATGGAGTAACTCCAAATGTTCAGTGTGCACATGTGCTCATGGGAAGGTGACCTGTGGGCCACGCGCCTGTCCTCCTCTCAGCTGTGGGAAAGACCAGAGTCCTTTTATCCCAGATGGAAACTGCTGTCCAGTTTGTGCTCATAATGGAGGTACAGTAACTGCAATCACACACACACACACACACACACACACACACACACACACACACACACACACACACACACACACACACACACACACAGACAGCTTGAAAGGATACTACATTGTTTTGTGAAAGTGATTGCTCTATTGTTTTTTTTTCCAAAATTTGTTAAGTAACAAATTGAAAATAGAAGAAAAAAAAATGTGAGGTTGTATTTAGCCTGAGGCCCAAAATAAAAAATTGACTCATCATGTTTTTACCCTGAAGAGTTTCTAAATCTTTATAATTAATTAATATATTTATTTATAAATCTAATTTTTTTTTGATGAGAGCTAAAGACTGTATTTGGAAGAATGTTGGAAACCAGTAGCCATTTTCTTTTTGGTTTAATCCTTTTATTAATCAGGGGTCCCACAGCGGAATGAATCGCCAACTTAACCAGCATATGTTTTACACAGCTGATGCCCTTCCACCCGCAATCCCATTTTATCTGTTCACACACACACACCTGTTCCAGATCACTGATTATGACACAGACAGCTGAAGCTCATCACTGAATCATTAACTGAACCATAGACACCTCTCTATGCAACACACATTGTTAAGTATTGTTTACCCTGCGTAGCACGACAAATCGCTATCCATTGTCTAGTTTTCCCGTGTTTTGATCTTTTTTGTTTGTGTACTGTTTTTTGATTCTTTGCTGCCTCGCCTGACCTTTAGCCTGATTTTTGACATCATTTTTGGATTAATAATAATAATTGTTTTGCTCCTGTGTTGATCATTGCCTGTATGACCTGTCTTTAATAAACTGTACTTGGATTCATGCTTCTGCTGTTAGCATTTGCTTCGTAACAATTAAAATGAAGAAAAATAGATTTTTTAATCAATGATTTACATGCCAAAGTTGACATAAAATTGTTTTTTTTTAATTAATCTTACTGAACTTATTATAAACAGTTTGTTTAATGTTTTGTTTTTAACTTTATTCACATTGTCATTTAATCCAGGGGTTCACAAAATTTTCAGCCCGTGCCCCCCAAAATAAAAATGCCAGTGACTCGCGAACCTAACATTTCTTGGAGGTGGTTTCAAATATTCAAACATTGCATGCTCAACATTAGGTCTATGTAAAAACTAGCATATTGACAACACAAAAAATTACAACAGTCTAACAGCCATATCATTTATATAGTAATTTACTAATTTGTTAAATTTAATATTAACCTCACTTAAAGAGACTTGTGGGCACAACGTTTTTTTATTGTTTTTTTTGTTTGTTTTTGTTTTAATTTTGAAGACCACCACTTAGAGATCTTATTTGATTGCCATCAAGGTGTCAGAAAGTTTAACCTGCTGCTATAAAAACAATCTGCTAGCTGATGCTATTGCTGTTATATTAATATAACTAATTTTAATATAAATAACTGAATGACTGATGGATTTTCATTTGCTTGTGATTGTTTTTATGTAACTATTAATAATATTATTATGTTCTGTGGGTTATGGATAAAATATGGTAGATCTAATAGTTTGATAAAATGGATTAGATCTTTGAGAATCACCAAGGGACCTCCTGTCATTGTCCTGTGACCCCCACTTTGGGAAACCACTGATTTAAACAAACATTATAAATAGTACCGCTAGCACCGCTAGCCATTTAGTTGACAGTATGCCTTTCTTACAATCAACCCTAATTGACTCTGAAAATTATTGAAACTGATCCCATTTTACATTTTTTCTTTTTCATTATTTCATTACTCTCGCTTGTTTGTCACAATGTGGAATAATTGGCCTACAGATTATGGCAATGTGTGTATATTTTAATGAGCACAAATTGGGATGTTTGCTGTTGAGCAGAGATAACAGCATTGGCAGAATAAATTTAGTAAGTTTTGGCCTTGGATGTGCCCAAACAATGGCAGAGTGCTTTAAGGGGTGCTCCACTAAAATATCATATTTTAAACTTTAGTTGATGTGTAATGTAGCTGTTTGAACATACACATCTGTAATGTAAATATCATGTAATACACTCAAAGTTCAATGCAAAGGGAGACATTGGCTTTTACAGAGTTAGCTTAGCTAAGCCTACAGTGAATGATGTTTGGGAACTACAAAAAAAGATCAAGGTTAGTGAGATCACAAGGGCTTACGGTTACGCACATTCACCCAGCACATACACCCCCACAGCAATGGTGTGTGGCCCGAGGCGCTGTTATGTTGTAGCAGAGAAAGCTAAAATGTGGTCCAAACGCTGCTTTTTCCACAAAGCTTCTTCTGTTTCTGTATTTGGCCCTCTAAAGGACACAACACAAAGAGAGATGTGCTTAAAATTAAACTTTAATTATTCCAGAGAATTAAAAAAATAAATATAGCTAGCATTTGACAAAGGAGAACTTCCAGAATCTATCATAGTACAGTGCTGGATTCGGTTAAAACTCCTCAAAGAAGGAGCAGCTCCAACCATAATAGATGAAGCTGTGGATTGTGACCCCCAACCTGTGAGTGTTTTTCGTTGTAAAAATCAATCCATTACATGCATAGTGTCTAGCGTTAACTGTTTGTTGTAGCAAGGATGTAAACAATGGGAAATGCTGTTTGGCATTGCTAACAATTTATCTACAAATTCATGTTTATCCATCCAAACTGGTTTAAACACCCACAATCTTCACCAGCGATGCAGTGTCTCTCTATGCGCCCGCTTTTCATGCGTTGCAAAAGATATGTGAATGTTTTATATTACTTACCAATGCGTATTTCAGGCACAAACTGATACTGCTAACAGCTACTCTGACAGTGTTTACACTATGCAAAAATGCATGCTTTTTGGCGTGTGAAACATCCTAGTGACGTGGAGCTGATCCATATATCATTCATTTATTCATTTTCTTTTCAGCTTAGTCCCTTTTTCAATCTTAGTGGAATGAACCACCAACTTATCCAGCATATGTTTTCACAGCAGATGCACTTCCAGCTGCAACCCATCTCTGGGAAACATCTACACACACATATTCACACACATACACTACGGACAATTTAGCTTACCCAATTCACCTATACCACATGTCTTTGGACTGTGGGCGAAACCGGAGCACCCGGAGGAAACCCACGCGAACACAGGGAGAACATGCAAACACCACACAGAAACGGCAACTGACCCAGCCGAGGTTCAAACTAGCGACCTTCTTGCGGTGAGGCAATTGTGCTATTCACTGCGCCATCGTTTAGCCCCGATCCATGAATAGCACCGCATTATGTTAGCTGACCAATCAGAGCCTCCTGAGGGCGGGCCTTTTGGAGGAAATAGGAAATATGACAGTTGTTTTCATGTTTGCTGAGTAGCTGTATATAAGAGTAAGATATATATAAAAAAAATAACGTAAACAACTGAAGCATAAGCACACATTACTTTACATCTTATAAACACAACTCTTAAAAATAAATAAAGACATTTTAAAAACATTTAAATTATGATTTTACAGATGTGTTTGGCGTCACTAGTAGCACAGATATTACACACATCTGCTTATAAGGGAGTTTTAGAGTCATGACGTAAATAGCAATTCACATTGTGCCTCAGATTCAGCTTGCCCCTCTCTCTCTCTCTCTCTCTCTCTCTCTCTCTCTCTCTTTATGTTTTTCTGATTGCTTTAAAACATTTGCTTTTCTTAGCTATGTTTGTCCCAAAAGGGTTTATCTGCTTCACACTGTCATAACCCATCATCTGTGTTTTTTTTCTTTAGAAATTCCAGAATTATTCTGCAATTAAAATGTTCTTTCTCACTTTACAGTCTCTTGCTCCTGGGAAGGCCGTGAGTACAGAGATGGGTTGGAGTGGACGTCAAGCCCCTGTACAAAGTGCAGGTGCAGAAACGGACACACTGAATGCCTGGTGGCTGAGTGTCAGCCGGTTACATGCAAAGTGGTCAGTAACAACACTGAACTGTCAGCTGGGCCTTGTGTTTTGATCTCTCGGCAACTGCAAAGGCAAAACACAGAGCAGCTTGTCTAGATGTGTAAATTGCTGTTATCTCACACAGCATCTTCGCACTTTAAAGAAAAAAAATACACTTAAGATGGCTGCTGTGGTTGCCAGAAGTTTATTATTTAAAAGAATATGATAGCAACATATTTGAATTCGAAAAAAAAGATGTCCAACATGTTTTTATAGTGTCTTTTTAATAGCTGGAAAAAATGTATTTAATTTAACTGGCATACCATTAAAATGTCAATTTCATGAAGGACTAAAATCTGTTTTGCACCATTATGAAAAACAGACCAGCTTAAAAAATGAAAGACCCATTATAAATCAAAGCTTATCATAGCACACAGGAAATGTCAGTTTAGGGGGGGGTTTCAGCAAATTATAAGATGACTTACTTGACTTACTTGATAATGAGAAAGCCACGTGATGAGTAAAATCTGATCACAAGTAGCTCACAGAGAACTGAAGGAATGTCAATTTAATTGTTTTCTCTGTGAATTAAAAGACAGGTGATAATAAGAAAGCCACATGATGAATCAAATTTAAAAGTAATAGGGTTTATGCACAGCTAGCGTTTCTTCCCATACCAATAAACTTCCACTGAATGGTTAATGTGACTTTTTAAAATTTTATACTGTTCCTTTTACAGCATCGATGGTGTAATGTGATTAAAATACAATCAGTTAAATACACTGCAGCATTCATTTAGTTTTAAATGAAGTTGTAAAACGAGATGAAAAGCCTTTTACACACACGTGCCATCAGGATCAGCAGTCTATCACAAAAACTCCATTGAAAATACTGGGGTAAAATAAATGTCAATATTTTAAAGGCATGGCACGGAAAAAATTTAATTTAATGCAGTGCTTTTTGTACATTTTGAGACCCACTTTATATCGTAAATCATTTAGGCAGTGAAGATAGCTGATTTTTAAAGAAAACAGACCTTAAAACTGCTGATTTTATAGCATACAGTTCACCAGAAGCCAGGTTGCTAAAATATTAAAAGTTCTTCTGCACACATCTGCATAATTATTAACAAAGAATTGAAGGAATGTGAGTTAAACAAACTTTCACTTTAAATGATAAAATTTACAAATTTTTACCTTCATAAACTGCACATTCAACTATAAAGTTACATTGAATTTATATTCATCGTCATCATTTAATATAGGAACTTGCCATGAACCAATTAACAGGTGTTTACATTTTTTTTTTTCTAGAGTTTTACTCAACTTTTTTTCAACAATTTTAAATATCACAAGTGGAACCGAATTGTTGTACAAAGAAAGCAAACAGAAAAAAATCAGATGATGAAGACAACTTACAAGACATTTTTTAAAACAACAGAAAGCAAATAAGTTTTAATTGCACTCTGGAATAAAGCCAGTGTTGAAGAAGATTTTAACAGACAGTGGAAGGTCATTGCAGAGTCTAGGAGCTGCAACAGAGAAAGCTCTAACATCTTTATATTTTAGCTGAGAACGCAGAACTGCAAGCACAAAGAGATCAACTGGCTTCTCCATATCTTCAAAAATAAGGATGGATTTGAGTTTAGATATTGATCTAAGGAGGGGAAAAAAAGATTCTGAACAAAATGAGAGAAAAAATAGGCCAGTGCATGATTTTTTTTTGGGAAGTGATTGAATTGTTAAAAGATTGTAAGCATTGCTTACAAATTGAAGGAATATTGACAAATGGGCGAACTTAACGATAAAAACGATGAGCACAGATACATCATTATTACAAGAACTACTATATACATATAAAATTAAGAAGAGTACATTTTGATTTCATGGCAGCTTTAAGGTCACAGTCAAAGAGTTTCTCACATTAAACAGTTTTTTTCACACCTTATTACTGAATAACATGACTTCTGTTTTATCCTCATTCAGTTGGAGAAATTTATTTGTCAAGTGACACCTCACCTCTGACAAACTTAAAGCGACCCTTTATGATGTTACAGTCTTTTATTTTATAATTGTGGTCATTTCTCATAGTGTAATTTTGATTCATATGTTGTCAGCTGAAAAGTTGTTTAAACAGCATGCGGTTTGTATTCTTTCTATATGCAGAATGAGAACCTGGTGGTCCATCCAGGACAGTGCTGTCCACAGTGTGAGCCAAATCCCTGTATGGAGGCTGGGAATGAGTACAAGGTAAGCCGGAAAACTGATTAGAGGAAGGTGAAATATACACAGAGATCTGAGGACAGAGGAAGATTGAGAGCGACAGATGTGATAATACATGTCTGTATTATGGAAGACCTTTTGCGAATGGATAGAGTGGGTTAAAGTGCGCTCATCATTCATATTGTGACAGATGAGGAGTTGAAGGAAGAGCTGTGTGTATGTGCTGTCATTTCCACTTTGCCAATTCCCTTCCTTCCGTAAAGAGTTTCTCTTTTCCTTGTATCATCTTTTGATTCTCTTTCAATCATTCACGTTATATACAGTTGAAGTCAGAATTATTAGCCAGCCACCCTTTGAATTTTTTTTTTTGAAGTATTTCCCAAATTATGTTTTACAGAGCAAGGACATTTTAACAGTATGTCTGATAATATTTTTGCTTCTGGAAAAAGTCTAATTTGTTTTATTTTGGCTAGAATAAAAGCAATTTCTAATTTTTTAAACACCATTTTAATGACAAAATTATTAGCCCCTTAAGCTATATTTTTCTTAATAGTCTACAGAACAAATCATCATTACACAATAACTTGCCTAATTACCCTAACCTGCCTAGTTAATTAACCTAATTAACTAACCTAACCTAACCTAATTATCCTAGTTAAGCCTTTAAATGTCACTTTAAGCTGTATAGAAGTGAACTTGAAAAATATCTAGCAAATATTATTTACTGTCATCACAAAAAAATAAAATAAATCAGTTATTAGAAGTGAGTTATTAAAACTATTATGTTTAGAAATGTGTAGAAAAAATCTTCTCTCTCTTAAACAGAAATTAGCACAAAAAAATAAACGGGGGCTAATAATTCAGGGGGGCTAATAATTCTGACTTCAACTGTATATTAATCTCTCAACTGACTTTTCATGAGTTTGCTCAACTTGCGGGTTTAGTACAAACAGTGCTTGTAGATCGCTGAAGCATTAACAACGTACCTGTGAACAATAGTAAGCTGTGTAAAGTAAATTAAAATAACCATAAGTGAATAAATGAACTGTAGTGAGGAATAAAATTAAGTATTTGCTATTTTACATAAAAACCAATTATGGGCTAAAATATGAAACGCAGAGTTAGAGGAATAGTTCAAGCAAAAATGGAAAAGCCTGGATTATTTACTCACACACTGACTCAGTCACACAATCTCATTATAACGTGAAGCGGGGCACTGAAAAGGGAGGTGTGGATCCAAGCACAGGTTTATTAAACAGAGATGGTCAGGCAATTATCAACACAGGGGCAAACAGATGTACACAAAAAATCCAGAGTCGTAGACAAAAAGGCAGGCAGCAGACAACGTAAAACAAACAAAACAAGGCAAGGTTAAAACCCAGAAGGCAAGGAAAACATCGTAATGCTCACAGTAAATTTTACAAGACTCAGCCAAGCCTTTGTGTTTGTGTGCTGTATAAATAGTCCAACTAATCAGTCTTTGAGCAGCTTCAGTTGTGTGAGTGTAATCAATAGAGACTTGGAGCGGGTGTGCGTGTGTGTTGCATGACCAGACTTGTAGTCCATATACTGGTGGAATTGTAGTTCTTGTAAATGTGAATGTTCTCCAGCAAGTTTGAGTTGAAATTCAGGTTGTAATACTCCAACATTTATCATTAGTATCTGACTGCAGACTTGCATATGCAAGCTGAAACATGCTGTCTCAGACATGCTGTCTCAGACACAATGCACTCAATGGAGCAAGTGAAGTCACTATGAGGGGTAGGTAGGATTAGGGTCGGGGTTAGGTGTGTGCATTAAAGGGTCACAAAACACCAAAACACGTTTTTTAAGATGTTGACAGTCATATATGTGTCCCACATTGCCAAAACCTCTATTAAGACACATAAATTTGACCAAAAAAAGTGAAAATTGGTTGTCTTTGCATTATTTTGAGCAAATTCGTTCTTCCGGTTTGAAAATAAATTTTGAAGCTAGGAATTCTAGCGTGGAGACAAAACGTGAAGCCAATCACCTCGGAGTGGACCCACAGAAAAATAATAAACAAAAGATGCACTGTAACCAAACACCCAAATAGAACTAACTACACCTAATAAAATAACCGAAATAAAAATACAAAATCTACCTCTACCTCCCTAACTAGTTGTAAAAACAGGAGAAAATATTTACAGAAAAGAAAAACATGGTGTCCAACCCCTACTGCCTCTTACCTTGTACAATATTTAATATTTACAACCAACAAACAAACAAACAAACCATAAACAAAATAATAGGAGGGGGAAACACGAATGGATATACAACAAAATGTCAAAACTTATACACCAACACGTGAAACACAATCAACAATAACACTTAGCAACAAGCATAGTTTTATCGCACACCAAACTCAAAACAACATGCCAACCAAAAATCACTCTCCCGCCCCACGCCCGTTTTCCCTTTCTAAACGACGCCCTGGGTTACTTCATCCAATCCAATGGCACCTCATCTGCGTAACTAGGGCGGGGCCTGCAGATGTAAAGAGAGGGAGAGAGAGAGAGACAGACAGACATAGAGACTCACACACCTGCCAATGCAACAAAAGACATTGCATGCAACTCCACTTGCATCTGCACCTACTCTGCTTTTAGAACCTTCTGCCTTTTTTTAAAGTGCACACACTTAAATGTCTCTGTAATAAGTGCCAAGCACCAGAGCCAATAAACACTTCTATTAACATGATAGTTAATTCATATCAATGTTTTTAGTGATTATTTTTAAAATGATTCTGTTTGATCCCCTCCGTCCTGATGATGTTGTAACATCTCTGCAATACCAGGACCTCTCTTTAGATACACAGACCGACGTCCCCATAATCTCTCATCAGCATGTCATTTCAGGCTGTTTCTCTTTTGGCGCGTTTGAGCAATCACGTCCCACTCAGCAGAATTCAGCTCTTTTGATCATTGTGAATTGTGTGAAAGCAATGCAAGGATTTTGAGAGGATAACATTCACCAGTCTTTTTATCTCCTACTTGTCTCGTTCTCTACAGCGCCGTCTGAATTTGTCATTTATGTTAAATTAATTATGTGCTGTAATGTGTTTTTCTGCTAAAGCTTTGAACAGCTTTGAGATGCCATCTGAATTTTCAAAACTGCACAGAGGCATCAGTGGTGTAGCTAATTTTGTCATTTTGCTATATGTATTTTCTGGGAAAGCTCTATATGTTGTCAAGCCATGCCAAACTGCAATAAGGTCAATTAAGGCACACTGGTGTATTCGCTCCATTTTTATAAACATTATAAAAAAGAATTATAGTTCCCTTTTACTCATGTTACAGTAGGAAGGAATTTAAAATATATTAAAATAAATAAAAGTGGCAATCACTATTTACATTTATTAATAAACTCAAGCTTAAAAAAAAAACTATACTCTGTTTGCACCTGGTATTTAGATGCTTTTATCAATCTGATCAATCCAAGTGGATGATACTAAATGGAGGTGTAAACCAAGTCTGAAACCACTTTCAGAGGTAATTGAAAATGCTGCATGATGTAAATTGTCATGTGTTTCAGAATCCTTCTTTCTGCTTACAATCTCAACTCCTAAACATTACAGACATGCACACTAGGGAGGCAGTAGTGTCAGTGCCCTTCTAAAGAAGAAAAAAAACTACCTTGGTCACTGTAATAACTTGAAACTGAAATAAGTAATGATTAATCAAAAATTACTGAAAATTAACAAATGAAAATCAGATATTGCTTTCAAATTGTGTTTTAACAGAAGCCCCGAAAAAGGCAAACTAATGTGGTTAATGTGCGTGACACACTGCGCCACCGTGCCTCCCTAAAAACAATACCTTAACATTTTTATTGTTTAAATTTTTATCAAACAGGCATCACATCAATCACTTTAAATAGTCTATACACGTCATTAACCATAGTTATTACTTTCTAAAACAATGCAATGCACATGAACATGAACAACTGACCTTGTAAAACATTTAGCATCCGTGTACTGCAAAAAAAAAGCAACAACATAATACCTTATAGCAAGTAATTTTCAACCAAGGTTTAATGTAAAAACAATAATATTAATATGAATTATATAATATTTATTTATTTATAATAATATTTAAATATAATTTTATTTATTATTATATGCATCTTTTATAATATCATGCATTATATAATCATATAAATATTATTAAATGTATTAATGTTAATATATTAATATATTATAATAATATATTATGTAATAATAATTTTCCCAGAGATGGGGAAAAAAATCTTGCTGGATAATTTGGCGGTTCATTCCGCTGTGGCGACCCCGGATTAACAAAAGGACTAAGCCGACAAGAAAATGAACCTCAGTTCAAACCTCGGCTCGGTTGGCGTTTCTGTGTGGAGTTTGGATGTTCTCCTTGCCTTCGCGTGGGTTTCCTCCGCGTGCTCTGGTCTCCCCCACAGTCCAAAGACATGCGGTACAGGTAAATTGGGTAGGCTAAATTGTCCGTTGCTGGATAAGTTGGCGGTTCATTCCACTGTGGCGACCCCGGATTAATAAAGGGACTAAGCCAACAAGAAAATGAATGAATGAATTTAGAAATTTAGCACAAATCAAATTTATTATGCTTATATCTGATAATGCTTAAGTTAAGTTTTCTCAGTTCCCTCATCACCATTCTCTACCATTAACATATTTTAGACACATGACCACTCAAAGTTGTGAATACATATTACTGTAAATCAAGATTACTTGAATCTATTAAGTTTAATAACTTTATGTGCAAAAAAGTTGGGATTACTTGTTTAAATATTGTGAGGTAAACAGATTTATTCATAATACATTAAGTGCATTTTATATTAGTGAGAACAGCTATTGCTCTTTATAGTCTATAGACCCTCTCCTTAAATAAGTCAGAATAAAAAAGCCAGATTAAAACACCAGCTCTAGACAGGAGCGTGTCTCACTCATCTGCTTGTGATCCAATCACCTAACTTAATACCGTGCATGAAAAGGGCTTAAAAAGGGGGAAATATGCGACATAACGTCTCTCGTGTTCACACTTTGCATGTTTTGCTTGCGCTACGTTAATTACATATTGCATAATTGCATATAAATCTTCTTGTATTGTAAGTCACAACCTGTTCTAGGTGATACAAAAACATTTACTTGTTTTCCAGAAACAGGGCTCATTTGGAAACACACAAGCCATTTGTGTACATATTCCCTAATGTCACTGAATTCCTAAAACTGTCTGCATTTGTGTTTTTAGCATGGCGAGCAGTGGCAGAGGAGCAGCTGTACAACCTGTGTGTGTGATCGTGGTCATTCTCGCTGTCAAACTGAGAAGTGTCCTCCTCTCCATTGCGATAAGGTCAGCAGAAATCCATTACATTATAACACTTCATATCAAAGAGAGTCACTTGACCAGTAACAGTACTGAGAAGATGAAGAAGAAGAAAAAAGCTGATCACTAACTGACATGTCTTTCACAGTTTAATGCAATCTCACTTTGATTTTCACGCTTCTTTAGCCTGAAAAGTGGCAGGATTTCATCATCCAAGATTGTTTGCACCATACATTTAATATTTTGTCTGGTGCTCTGGGGTGTTTTCTATCTCAGTCTTTTGCTTTCATATGAAATTTATGATCTTATGTAACTGTGCTTTAGAACAATACTCAGCAGGAACAGACCCTTCATTTTTATATCTTATACCTTAATAAGTATGAATCCTCAAAGAGCGTGAAATTGCCCCATAAATTCAAAATGAGAATTTGATGGCTTTTAGCTCACGACTGTTAGCTAGAATCCATCTATAAGCTAGAAGTTGACAACTTTCACTTGTAGCGGTTACACAGATTTAAAACTTAGTTTTCTTCTTTTAGTCTGCTGGCTGTGTTCCTAAAAAAGGGACAATCTAATTGCTTTTAATTAGCCATTGTGTTCATAAGCTCAACAAAATGATGTGTGATTGGTTATTATTCTGAGCTCTGTAAGAAATGTAACTTGCGTAGATTTAAATGTGATACTATAAATTGAGTTTCCATTCATTTTTATTCATCCAATTATTTTCCTTCGGCTTAGTCCCTTTATTCATTAGGGGACCCTTTTTACAAGACTGTATAACACATTTAACGGTCATCATATTCTTAAATCCTTAAAAGTATTTAATATTTGATTTATAAAAACCAAATGATCATATATATATTATTTTTTATTTACTTTTATTTTTTAATTATTTTTATTTAATTTGTATTTATTTTATTTTATTTTATTTTCTGATAACATATTTATTACATTTTAGAATGCATGATATGTTGTGTTCTCCTCAGGGTCAGACGAAGGTCAAGCGAGCCGACCAGTGCTGTGAAGACTGTGCCACATCTAAAGGCAGCTGCCTCTATGAGGGCATTGTTCGTTACCATGGCGACATGTGGAACGGCACAGGCTGTGAGTTCTGCATGTGTGAACGGGGTCAGGTGCTGTGCCAACGGGTCGAGTGCTCCAGATCAGAGTGCCCACGGGTATGTGTACACACCTTATAGAGAGCACATTTCAATGCAGAGCCTTCAGCAGGAACACAGGTTGATCTATTCAAGCTGAGCTGTTAGATGCCCTATATACCACCATTAAAAAAATATGTTGACAATTAATAGGGCAAAATATACCAGGCCAGTCTGAAATCTTGATCTATGTAGTCATTTGTCCTAGTTATGAGTTATAACTTTATCCAATCAATATATTCACTGCTTCTCAATTAATCATAAGGACCTTTGAAAGCTTGGGCACTGTGGCGGAGATTTATCACTTATTAATTGTATTTCTGGCCTGAATCCAGGATAGTTACTGTAAAGGTTATTCTTTAAAGAAGGAAATTCTGACTTGAAAGAGTTTTTGAAAACATCTCTGGGGTCATGGCAGAAGTTCATAAGTTTATTCATGGGTTTCGGTCACATGAATAGTGCAGAGACCTTGAGGGCCGAATATCTATCGAAATGCAGTACAAACCTGTCAAGTTTCCATTTGTTTCAAGCCACGGATATTTAGATCACCTCTCAAAAAGCAAAAAAAGCTTTGAACGAAAATGCAGGGTTTGGCCCTTTGTGGTCCCTATACAGCATCTGCTGCAGTATTTCAACATCAAAATCCCTGACTCATTTTATTAAGACAGTGATATTAAATGATAGAAGTCACTGGACCCTTTTCACAAGACTGTCATGATACATTTAACGGTCATCATAATCTTAAATCCTTGAAAGTATTTAATATTTGATTTATAATCATGCCTTTTTGTATGTATTACAGTTTTTTTTTTACAATTGTTTTGCCACAAATTTCAGAATTAAATTAGAAGTATTTTACATTACTGTATGTAAGAATGCCCAATCACAGCACCACAACAGACCAATCTCAGGCCTGGATTCACATAGAGCTATTTCAAGTTTTTTACAATCGTTTTGTCACAAATTTAAGAACCCTGGTGTCAATTTTCAAAACTCTTGACACAAAATTCACCACTATTACCAGAATTGCACATTTTTGCAAAAATCTTTCTTTTTTAAATGCTTGGATATAATACACACAAGTCAAAGATACTGTGTTCATTGAACTAAGATCACCTATTCAATAGAATACAATTAAACATCAAATTGATTGCATTTCAAAATGCAACTCAAACATTATATTTAAAATAAATATGTATTCATTTACTTAACATAATGTTATTATCAACTGATACAAGCATTTAAAATAATAAATAACTGTTGCATTACTCTTGATGTGTAGAAACTGACATACAACATTAAAGATGATGAAAGATTCAGGATAGATTGAGTGACATCAGTTACCAAAGAAGATGACCTAACTGGACTACATTATCTAAAGATTTCATCTTGATTCATTTTTAGTCTATATTGTTTTTTTGTTCCATGTACCACCTTTACAGACAATGTTTTCATATTTTGCATTACCGAACTGTATGTAAGAAAGCCCAATCACAGCAGACCAACATCAGGCCTGGATTGACAATGACAGAAGGTTCTTTCCAAGATTTTTGAGTAATGAAAACATTGTGATGTAGAGGAGAACCTGTGACCAAATCCATTAGACCAGACGGATGGAAGCACAGATCCCAAAACAGAAATCTGATGTATAGAAATACATGCAAATGACATATGTGACATAATAGTTCATAAGAATTTTAGATACATAAAATATGTCATACATGTCAAAATATTTAAATTTTTGGAATTACAGCTGTGCACCCATATATTAAATGTGTTCGCCATATAAAACAATCAGGCTTTTTTTACGTTTGATGCATAACAATATTGGTTACTGGGACTCTTAATAGAAATTATAGAAATTAGAAGTTTGGACTTTTTTGTATTATGAAGAGTAAAGCTGCAGTCACATTAGAGTTTGAGCTTAAACAAGCCTATTAGGCATTTTAAAAAGCGAGCGATTGCTTCATGTTTTAAATTTATGTCCAGAGAGGTCATGTTTTGATCCTCGTTTGGTCTCACGCAGTCAAGTGATGCGATTTCGCAGGTCAGAGTTCACCCTAGCTTGAACTTTGCACCACTGCACCCTGCGAAACTTGATGCATGACCCTGCGTTTCCAGTCTGACGCATTTGCGTGCGTACGAATGGATGTCTATGGGAGGAAAAGCCCAGTGTGACTGCAGCTTAAATAGTGAAAGAAGGTTAATTTTTGGGTTCAATATATCCTTAAGTAAAGTTTCACAAGCTGATTTCAAAAGCAGCACATGATATGATTGAACGCGGCTGGTCTGCCATCCGTAATCATTAGTCAGCCAATCGGATTAATCCAAACTCACTATAAATAGCCCATCTAGCCTTACGCCCTCATATACGTTCTATGAAGAATCCTCTATTCACCCCATTTTCCCCATTTCCCCTTTTACCAAGAAGAGCTTATGAGAACTACCTGATCTCCTACCCCCTTACATGCTGGGGCCCTGGGCTCAATTATCTCTGAGCTTTTGGTTCTCTTCTGGGACAGCATGCCAAACCTGCTAATAGTATCAAGTGATATCTAAGTGTGAACTCTTTGATTTTTATTTTTTTTATATAAACTGGTGTATATACTTTAGTTGACTTTTAAATAGTGAATAGTTTCAAGCAGCTGTTTTGGTTAAACTTTTTTGCAGAGTCCTGCATTTATCAAATGCATTAATCAAATGACAGCTGATGTTCACTGAATTCGAAGTAATAGAATGTCTGATTAAACAACAGCGAAGCATAACAGATGCTTCTATGTCATTTTGAAAAACATTGATCAAACCGTCTCTCCCATCTGTAGTTCCATATTTCACTGACATCTGCTGATCTGCATGTAAGACCACCATGACTTTGGCGATTGTTACGCAGAAACCAAAGATTCTCCCATGAATGTAAATGACTATTGATAACAGCCCCCTATAAAGAAGCTCTGAGGTACAATTGGAAATGTGATGTAATTAGAGATTTGTGGCTCTGTGTCAGACAGCTAATCATTCCCCTGGGGCTGTTTTCATGCTGAAATTAAATGAGCTCAAATTTCGCACCTTGTGCCAGGGAGAAAAACTGGTCCATTTGCCTGGAAAGTGCTGCCCAGAGTGTAAGACGACAACCAGTTCCTGTACATATTCACAGCCAGACCAAAAGGTATGAAGCGTTTGTTGTTTTCTTGTCATATATAATGACATTATATATATAACTATGGAAAGAAAAACAGAGATAACTGTTCTGCTTTTCTGGGTTTACTTGATATTTCTTCCAAATCTAAAAAACAAATGTTGCTATTTTGAGCCGTTTTGATGCATGAAATAGCACAAAAATAGGTATGAAATTTACTTTAGAAGTTATTAAAATTTAACCCTGATGTGACATTTCGTCACCTTGGAATTATAAGGTTCTGTCTGTGTTCTGAATGATTTTGAGATTTAGAACTTCAAAGTTTTTGCATTCCATAGCAAACAGTATGTGTGTAACCTTTGTTTTTTAAATAAAAAGTTGTAAAATGTAAACAACTTATAAAAAAACATCCCTTAATGTAAATAAGCTGTCATTTAATAAGAATATGTCAATAACTCAATTTTGACAAAAATGTCAGATAGAACCTTATAATTATAAGGTGACGATTTGTTATTCTGACCAATAACAAATGACATTTTCTGAATTGTTCAATAAATAAAATAATTAATTTTGTAAACAAACAAAAAACATTGCCTTTCTATTTGAATGTTGTCATTTTTTAAGTATTCCTCTGGTTCAAAAGCTGAATTTTAGTAGCATTACTCTAGTCTTCAGTGTCACATAATCCTTCAGAAATTATAAAAATGCTAATTAGATGTTTTGGAAACATTTATTATGTTAATCAAGATTAAAAACTATATATAATACTATATACTAATACTATTAAATGCTATATACAACAGTTCTGTCTGGTTTTTTAATCTGATTGGCCGTGAGATATTCTGCAAATAACAGCATTCGTCCAACCTCTCAACCCTTCACCCTTTTGTATTACTCCGCCCACATACAGCGACAAGCAGAGGACACTTTACAGTTTGACAAATATTGCTGCTGTTAGACCATAGATATATACATTAGATGTCGCCTACCCTGTTATTGTCTATTGGAAGGAATGCGTCAATAGAGCCGCCATTTTACTACAGGGTAGCGCTCCATTGAAATGAATGCGAGACCAGGGTACAGTGGAGGACTGTGTCCATCCAAAGCCAGAGATATACACATATACACATATATCTACCTGTAAGATCAGGAGTTTTCCTGGATGTTAGTATGCAATTTAATTTTTTTTTTATTACGAAAATTATCATTTTACATCACTTTTCTACATTGATGGATCAGTGATCGCACTGGCATTCCTGATAAAAAGCTTGTGTTTGTGTGTATGGAAATGTACTATCGACCCTCCCTGTTAAATTTGATCTAATCCGTGTCCTGAAACACACCTCCTCTCCTGCTTTCACTTCTCATACTGACGGAGGGTGCGACTCCGTTATGAACAACTCGTTCACTAACTGACAATAATACACATATCTGGCACTGCAGCATCTCGTTGTCATATTTATTTTGCATTGTTTGCTGATTTTATTCAACAAAACTAGCATAAGCCGAGTATTTAGTGCGAGTTGGAGCTACTTTGACTTATAGTGAATGCAGTAAGTGACTGCATTATCATTAATAATGCTACTGTTTAGCACAAAAGTTCAGAACATACAAAAACGTAAAAAACTTAATCTTACCTATAAAATGTTCTGCCTTTGTGCTTTGGTTTCTTTGTTTGCTCGTTACTACACCTGTAGACAGTGCTAAAGTCCTGTATCTTCACATAATAACACTGTCTTGTCTGGTGCGGTTAAATGACATTTGTCCTGGGAGCACTGTACCAATGTGGCGGCGCTATTGACTCATGCTCAGGGTCCCTATGCGATATCTAGTGTATATATCTATGCTGTTAGACAACATAATGTACTTTTGAAGCTTTTAAAGGCAAGAATGTAGTTGTTTAGGTTGCAACTATGCAGTTTATTTAGAAGGATAGTGCCTATTTTAAAATATTTATAATTTCTGAAAGTATGCCAGCGACCATTAGCCTGTTTTTGAGCAAAGACGGTTAACGATGTTCATCCACAAGATGGCGACAGAGAGGCATATTTTATTCAAAGATAACAATGCAAATCCAACTCGATCTACTTTGTTAAAGCAAGTCTCCTTGTATAATATATCTACTGAAAGACAAAAAATATCTTTACAAACTGTATTGTAAATAAATCAACATTTTAATGTTGCCATTGTTATTATATCACAATAATATTACAGATATTCATTTAAAAACTGAATTAATAAAAATGTACACACTTTCACACAAGTCAATAGATAGACTTAATGATCTGCGAAAATCTGCAGATTTCTGTTCACGCAGATTCTGTGTGGGCCTTTAGACATTACGCTAGAGAATCATTCAAACACTAGCTCTAAAGTGATGTTAGTGAATGAGCAATGGCTTCTGCTGTTCGGACATCAGCTGCAGATGTGAATGAATGTTGGAAGAAAATAGTTCCTCTTACAAAAGGGTTCTGAGACTTGTGCTTGATTTTCTCTTTTATACACATGATTATTTCAAACTATTGTATAAGTGTGTGTGTGTGTGTGTGCGTGTGTGTGTGTGTGTGTGTGTGTGTGTGTGTGTGTGTGTGTGTGTGTGTGTATTATATATATACACATATATATATATATATATATATATATATATATATATATATATATATATATATATATATATATATATATATATATTATGTATACATACAATTATTTTTAAATATAAAACAATTTTATAATGTATCATGTCACTTTTGATTAATTAAATGTGTCTTTGTTGATTAAATTAATCAATAATAGTTTCATAAGAAACTCAACACAAGCCTTTGAACTGTAGTGCTTTTGATAGTGATGAAGAGCGCCATGCAAAATCAATACCACAATCAATCAGTCTGACTGTCTTTGTCCATTTAGGGGCAGAAAGCCATCAAGAGTTTTAGACGTCTCTCTGTAAGTAAACATAAACATGGTTTGCAAGATCAATAGACTCTGTTAAATCAGATTTTTGTCTAAGATAAATTGTGTGTTTGTGTTTTTGTCTTTCGTCGTTCTCAGAATCTAGAGATTGTCAGAGAAGGGTTGTGTCGAGAGTGCCAGTGTCAAGAGGGTCACGTGACCTGCTACCAGCACTCCTGTCCCACCTGTCCACTGGGAACACTAACTATACCTCACCGGGAGCAGTGCTGTCCCGACTGCAATCCAGGTGAGGAGACCTGCATCCATGTTTGTGCCTAACAGCAATGATGTAAGAAGCTACCATATTTAGGCAAGGCAAGTTTATTTGTATAGCACATTTCATACACACTAGTAATTTAAAGTGCTTTACATCAACAGGATTAAAGAAGATAGGTATACAAGAAAATAAAAGTGTCAAAAACTATTAAAAGCAGATAAAAGCAGATTAACATGTGCTAAAACAGATAATAAAAGAAATGATCTGAGTGATCTGTTAGGTTTGTATTCAGTGAGCATATATGTTGAGGTGCTGGGCCATTTAGTGATTTATAGATAAGTAATAATACTTTAAAATCTATTCTGAATGTAACTGGGAGCCAGTGTAAAGGCCTGAGGACAGTTGTGATGTGCTCTGATTTTCTGGTTTGGGCCAGAATTCCTGCAGCAGCATTTTGAATGAGCTGTAACTGTCTGTCTCACTTTTTGGGAAGGTCAGTAAGGGGTCCATTACAGTAATCTACTCTACTGGTGATAAAAGCATGAACAAGTTTCTCTATGTCTTCACTGGAAACAAAGCATCTCATTCTTGCTATGTTTTTGAGATGATTGGAAGCTGATTTAGTTACTGCATTGATATGACTACTGAAATTCAAATCCAGAATCACACCCAGATTCTTCACCTTATTTTTTTGATGTTTGACCCATAGAGCCAAGGTATACGTTCACCTTGAGAAACTTTAAAGGAATGATTCATGCCGAAATATAAATTAACTCACATTTACTCATACTCTGTCGGTTCTAAAATTTAATTTAATTTAATTTAATTTAATTTAATTTAATTTAATTTAATTTAATTTAATTTAATTTAATTTAATTTAATTTAATTAGAATGAAATATTTAGTCTTGTCAATTATTTATATTCTATAACTCTGATGATTTGAAGTGCTTCTTTTATCCTCACTGGTAAGTCACTATGGATAAAAGCATCTGCTATATGATTAAATGTAAACATAAATGTAATACCTGCCAGTTTTCAACATCCTTGTGTTTAACTGAAGAAGTGCAATGTATTTTGCTCCAATAAAATCAGTCAGAAAAATAATACTTAAAATTTACACAAGAAAGTTTAACTTATTTACATCAAAATACATTTAATCATCTAGCAGTTGCTTTTGTAAAAGATGAAAAAGATCATTAAATTACTCTACCTCATTATTATATGGTTTAAAAAATGTATTTCCCTGAAAATCTTTCTTTATCAGCCTCTGAGGAACAATTCCTTGACCATAAAGACAAAACCCAGTTGATCTCAGTGGAAGAGGGCTGAGAGTTATAGTATTAGATTATGTTCTGGTTAGATAACACGGTTCTTTAGCTCTGCAGCACCCATGAGACTCAGATCCGCTGTATCTACTAAATTTCCCCAGTGACTCCAAGAGAGGCTCTGAGAAGAAACATACATCTTACTCTCTTTCTCTTAGAAAAGAAAAAATGTTTATGTTTACATTTTGCCTGCCTATATAGATAAACAGTTTGTTTATATGAAGCGAAAAGAGAAATTGGGCATCTATAAGTGTGTGGGTTGACCGCTTGGCATCTCTGTGTTTATGCTTATGAGATTATGATAATGTGGCTTCTAAATACAGCACTCAAATAGTATAATGTCTTATAAGCTTTGGACAAGAATTAAAAACAAAACACAAGCACATAAACACAGGTTTGTTTTTTGTGAATTGTAGGGACATTCCATCGGCAAAAAGCTTTTTATACTGTACAAACTGTACATTCTAACACCCTACAACAACCCTACAACTAACCCTTACAGGAAATCTTGTTAATATTTACTTTCTCAAAAAACAGAGAAAGAAAAAAAAACTCATTCTGTTTAATACGTCACATTTTCCTTGTAATGTCTGTGTTATTCCCATACAACTTTGTTTCCTGATACATGTGTGTCACAAACACACACACACACACACACACACACTAGGGCTGTGCAAAATGACAAAATGTAATGTATGAACATAATAAAAAGTCAATTGTTTTATATTATCCTTGTTTATTTTGATATATATATATATATATATATAATTTATTTTGTGATGTTGAAATATACCAATACACTGGTTATGGTAATATTCATTATTTATATTTCTTTTCGTAATCTTACAAGCATCTATGGGAATGCAGGCATATATGTAAATTACAGCTTGGTAAAAAAGTTATTAAATAATTGTAATTTGGCATTTTTTGCAATATTTTATGCCTGATGTGCAATCATTGGTTTTTGAAAATTGTTTTATATTTTATTAATATTTATTATCTATTTCTACTATTAAACATTTGCTAGTTTTAAATGAACTGAATTTATCAAAAATTAATGACTTAAGTATATACTTTAAGTTGTAAAAAAAAGAAATAGTCATGTGATCAGTGTGTGTGTGTATATATATATATATAGAAAATGTACACTCAAATTTACACTCAATAGCAACTTTATAAGGTATACCTTACTAGTACCGAATTTGACCCCTTTTATCCTTCAGAACTGCCTTAAACTATCATTGCATAGATTCAACAAGGTACTGGAAATATTTCTGAGAGATTTTAGTCCATTTTAACATGATAGCATCACGCAGTTGTTGCAGATTTGTCAGTCGCACATCCATGGTGTAAATCTCTTGTTCCACCACATGCCAAAGATGCTCTATTGGATTGAGATCTGGTGACTGTGGGGGCCATTTGAGTACAGTGAACTCATTTTCATGTTCAAGAATCCAGTCTTCTTATACACACAAGGTATTCTTCCACAGTTATGAATAAAAAACACCAGGCAAATTTGAATTTTAGTTTTTATTTTAAACATTTCAAAGAGTTGCAGTATTACAACTAACAGATATGCATTATGGACTTACAGCAATGATTCTTGAACGATGAAACTATTCTTTATAACTATTCTTGATAAGTTAGCACGTCTGTGCAGGAGTCTTTACATGATCCTAGCCCAGTTTTATAGGTCCTCTAAACATGTTGAGATCGACTCGATAAGGGAACGTCTCAACTCGGAAAAAAAGCGACTCAGATGATGTGTAACATTACTGCAGAGCTGTTGTAAGGCAAGCATTCGTGGTTCGTTACGATCTGTTTACGTAACTATAGCAACTGTGGCGCCCGTTGCCATATGTTGCCAGAAACCACAGTGAAACGCTTAGAAAAGAAGGCACTTGAGTAAGGGTGACACATAAGAAGTTTGTTTTAACGATCTTAATGAAATCCGTTATTTCTGAGTATTTTACGCCTCAGATACACCCTAAAGTTAAATTACTGAAGGACTTTCACCCCGGTGGCGATTGTAAATGACGTCACTTGCAGAGGAAGTGCGGTTGCCTGAGCGTGCAAGCCTGGAGGTGCAGGTGCAAATCTGCAGCCAGGCTCTATTGACACCACCACCAGCCTGAACCGTTGTTACAAGGCAGGATGGATCCATGCTTTCAGGTTGTTGACGCCAAATTCTGACCCTATCATCCGAATGTTGCAGCAGAAATCAAGACTCATCAGACCAGGCAACGTTTTTCCAATCTTCTATTGTCCAATTTTGGTGAGCCTGTGCGAATTGTAGCCTCAGTTTCCTGTTTTTTAACTTAGAGTAGTGGCACCCAATATGGTCTTCTGCTGCTGTAGGTCATCCGCCTCAAGGTTCGAAGTGTTGTGGGTTCAGAGATGCTCTTCTGCATACCTCAGTTGTAACAAGTGTTATTTGAGTTACTGTTGCCTTTCTGTCAGCTGGAACCAGTCTGGCCATTCTCATCTGACCTCTGGCATCAGCAAGACATTTGCGCCCACAGAACTGCCGCTCACTGTTAATTTGATCTTTTTCAGACCATCCTCTTTAAACCCCAGAGATGGTTGTGCGTGAAAATGTCAGTAGATCAGCAGTTTCTGAAATACTGAGACCAGCCCATCTGGCACCAACAACCATGCCACGTTCAAAGTCACTTACTGCAAATCACCTTTCTTTCACATTCTAATGCTCGGCTTGAGCTGCAGCAGATCGTCTTGGCCATGTCTACATGCCTGAATGCATTTAGTTGCTGCCATGGGATTGGCTGATTAGAAATTTGCATTAATGAGCAGTTGTATCTAATTAAATGGCCGGTGAGTGTGTATCGTTGTCATTGACTTAGCCCTAACACACACGCACACACACCTTCTATGTTTATAAAAAGCATTATTAATCACATATGGTAAGTAGCAGCTTGAGTGTTGCTATAGCGTGTTAGCTGGTTAATGTCCAGATTTGATCAATACGGCGAAGGCAGTGTGAATGCATTCACAGCCACTTCACCATTTGTTAACTTGACTGCCTGTTGTGCGGAACAGAAGGAGCGCAGCATCACTGTTTTATCAGATACTTTGTCGGAGGCGTAATGACTTGCAGTGCTACTGTGAGAAATGCTGCGATTCAGAGGGATTTACTAGCTAGCGACCTTGTTATAATACATTTGCACTCAAAACAAGTAGATTTTTCAAATCGATAGGAAGTCTCAAAGGTCAAAGCAGTAAAAAATGCTTACTTCGACTGGAAAACGGAGGGCAGGATAGTTTTTCACCAAGAGTTATCGATTCGCACACCAAAGTATTTAATTAAAAGTGATTTATGGGAGGATGTCAGGAAATAATAAAGACTTAGGGCTTTCATTTTCTTATTACGGATTTGAATCTAGGCTTGTGCTCAGGTCCAGAACTTGTGAATGACCATCAGATAGTCAACAGTGCACCTTTTTGTGTGCTACGCTGCCCTATTTCTATGCCTTATGGATGAAGCCAAACACCTGCAGCCCAAAGTTCTTAGCAAGGGCTTTACCAGCTCATTAGAGACTGTAATTAATGCTTGTGCCAAAGAGTGGTGCCAAAGAGGACTATAGTTAGAGGCGTGAGTTTCATTTGGACCATGTGGAGATGCTATGAGTGCCTTATTAGTATCAATGGCTGGGTGGGAGATAGAGTGGTTCATTTGCATCACTATGGATGAACTTATAATCATGTCAAGCAAGCAGTGGATATGAAAAATTATTGAAGAAATCATGTTGACAGTAGGCATATATCAAACACAAATAAATGAATGATATTTGTTATGTTACATAGGATTTCTGTTTAAAAAAAATTAAATGTTATTTTTAAAAATTTTCTTTTGGTGTTTAAAAAAAGGTTGATTATTAGTTTTTCATACCAAACCTTGATACATTTTATTCAAAATAAAACAAAATTTTAAGCAAAACAAAGAGAGAGTCAGCAAAAAATATATGATGCAAAAAATATTTTACAGCACAACTGTTTTATATAACACTAGCTAAGAGCATGAATGTAAGCATGTAAATTAGAAGTTTAAAATTATAATACTTTACAATAGCAGTGCTAATTTTATTAAGTAAATGTAACCATAAAAACAATGTGTACATGGTTGATAATAAATAATTAATGCAATGCATTTCCAGACAATCCACAAAACACAATTTTAACACTCAAACAACATTTGATAAAACAAATAGTTGCACTTTTAACAGGTTATTAGCTGTTCAGTATTCTCTAATTGCCTAAAACACTTTCTTAATTGGCAAAATGAATCAAAGTATTCACAATAAATATTGTATTCCTAATTTTAATAGGTGAATTAAGTCATTTTTGACATTTGGTTTTGTGCGATGCTTTAGTAAAACACAAATTTATTATCACAGCTGCGAGTCAGTTGATTCTTTCGCATTAGAGCAGAGCTGATGATAATGATTGGCGAAGTCTGTGAATGATGGTAATTAGTCGAAATGAGTGTTTGTAAACAGTTGCTTGATGTGTCCTCAGAGGAGTTTACAATGTGTGTGTGTGTGTGTGTCTGCAGAAGTAAAGTGCCACGAGGACTGTCTGACATGCTCTGGCACACCGGATCACTGTGCCAGCTGTCGAGACCCTTCTGCCCTGCTAATGAACGGACGCTGTCTGCAGGCCTGTCCTCAAGGCTTTTTCGCTCAGGGCAAGGTTTGTGCAGGTAGAGACACACTTTTCTTTTTGTATTTTGCAGGTGTACTCCTGCAACCCTTGCTCCATTTTGTTTAATAAATTGTTGTTCAACTTGTGGTTTATTTAAGTGGAGAATTAGAGCTCACGCACGAAAAATACACATTTAAAAAAAAAACATCATAAAAAATAAGTTTTGTAATTCAAATCTATAGACACAAATTAATACTAAAAGATAAAGTATGACCATAGACCATTGGATATTTTCTTTCCATTGGGCTGAACAAACGCTTGTTTTTAAGCCTAAAAAGGCCAATTTATTTGTCATTCCAAAGCATCTTTACAAAATGTTCACATTATTACGTTATAGTCGAAGTCAGAAAGGTGTTGAGTATACATTGGACAGTAAATCGGTCAAGCATATACGTAGTTAACCTGCATTTATGTATTTTTTTTAATGAAATCATCTGATCAAAGCCTCTAAATCCACAAATGCATACAAATGTTTTTGTCTGTAGCATATTCATTCATTCATTCATTCATTAAGTCATGTTAGCGTAGCCTCTAAATACGGAAGTCAGATTGCAAATAGTATCTTCTATTTTATTTTGAACTGAAATTCTTCAAACTAAAAACTGTTTATGTTTATGTTATGTACCTGTCTATGTTTATCATATGCATTATTATTCACATATTTGCAATTTGCGTGTAGATAGTGCTAGCTGTTCACTGGCTAATTTCCAGATTTGATCAATGAGTACGTTCACATAGACACCAATAATCCGATTTTAATGTGATCAAGACAATATTCTGATTAGAGTCTACCATTTAAACAGTGATTTTTGCTTAATTTAATGCGATTAAGGTTATAATCGGACTAAACAGAAATTGAATTAATACATGTGAAGTAGGCCAGTTTTAGACGCATTCATGAAGTACAGTAAACACCTTAATCAAACTAGTGTACCACCATTGTGTAGGATTTTCACCAAATTTTGCGACAGGATAGTTTATACACATGAGGCTGTACACCGCGAAATGTGAAGGTTTTTTTTTCCAGCAGTTCATACTCGCATCTATTATCTCATTTGTCACGGGGACATGCGTGAAATGTTTCTGAATGAAAGTGAAAGCTCCAAACTGCAGTCACGTTTGACAAATGAAAAAACTCCCCAAATCACATGAAATTCCGGAGGTAATGTGGATAGCGTGCTTACGCAATAACATTAATCTATCTATGTGCTATAACTTGTAAAACGGAATCATGAAAGGAGCATGTAAAAAGCAACTCATGTAAACACCATCATATTATTGTCTTGTTCAGATTAAGGCAAATAATTCAATTACTGATGTAAATGTAAATGTAGTCACTGTCTAAAGGATTCACAGCCACTTCACCATTTATGAATGAACAGATGCAGTCTTTAGTGTTTTCTTTTTCTCACAGGGCATAGTTTGTGCAGATATAAACAAACTTTTTTATTTATTTTTTTAAATGTATTTTGCAGTTGTACTTCTGCAGCCCACGCATGTGTTCTTGAATGAACTGCCATTCACTTTATCCTCCTCATTCCTTTTTTCTACTAGACACTTAATTTTTACACCATGGTATTTGAAATCCTCAAAACGCCCTCTGCTTTGGGTTAAGTCCTTAAATAGCTAATCCTATAGCTTTGTTGGCATATGTGTCAGTGTTTATTCTCGCTCTATATGTGGATGTGCATATACATGCATATGAGTAATGTTTGTCACAGCGATTTCAACAAGTCAAAACACAGACCTAGGATCCTACACTGGAATTCCCCCCTTATACTTTAGCTGGCTGCAGCATCATTGAACCAATTTCTTATAGTCAGTTATTTAGGTCAAGATACTGCAGATGGAATAGTGTTAAAAATAAGAATTGTGGTTCTAAATCTGAAAACATGAGCATTGCTTGATTTCAGGATCTTGTTTAAACTAATTTATTTTAGACATATTAAGGTGTCACTGTTTATTTATTTTTTTTGGAATCTCTTTTTATAACAAACAGACAGAAAAATAATACATTTGCACATTTATCTTAGCATAATTGGACAAATTTCTTATAGTTACTTTTATGGCAAAATACTGCAAATGGTGAAATTAATATACAAATAATTGGCTAATTTGCATATATTTCTAGCACAGAAATCTGAACCTTGTATGAATTCAGGTTATTTTTTTTACATTAAAATAAGTCATATTTTGGGTGGAATTTTATTTTATCTCTTCATAATGCTAACAGACAGAACAAAAAACATTGACAATCAACATTTGTTGTAGGATGAAAGGTTGTATACAATCAGGCAAATTATGTGTGAACAATCATTCAGAACACAGATATGACTAAAACCGTGAAGTTTGGTGTATTTAAATGCTTTTGAAGAGATTTAAAGTTCAGTGTAAGAGAAAACAATCATTATGAGAAAACAGCCTTTGAAATATGCTCTGTAATTGAAATCTACACAAACAAATTGATAAAGAGCAACAGAAGAGTATTTTGAAAGCTTTCTTTCAATTTAAATCATTTGCAAAAAGCCCAAAAATGTCAAATTGACAGGCGCATGTTTCGCCTTGAACTCTTACACATGATTTCATGTTTTTGTGTTCTGCTTTTTCATATTATTTTAGTATTACAGTCACAAACTGTATCCCCCCAACCCGTATCACCCTTGTGTTTCTGTTTTTCTGCCAGCCTGCCAGCCGTCATGTGCCACCTGTGAGAATGACTTTGAATGCACAGCGTGCGGTGGGTCGTTTCTGCTCAGTGGCAGGCAGTGTGTGGCCACCTGTGAGAGAGGTCTGTTTCAGGCCCACACACACTGCCTCAGTAAGTCAACTGCTGTTTACACTTCATTCCCTTTTATTGTCTTGACTTTCTGTGATGCTGTTTACTTCTGCTGCTTTGTTGTTGTTTACATACCAGTGTTAAAGAAAGTGCATCTACAGTGTTGTGACAGTAGGTAGCTGAACAGAAAAGATGGCAGTAATGCTTTGACAACATGGTTTCAATGTTTTTGTGGAGCTACTATAAATAAATGTTGCGCCAAAATCTGTAATGTCTGTCGTACAAATATAAAATCTTCTATGGCAAGTATATACTGTACAGTGCATCCGGAAAATATTCATAGTGCTTTTTATTTTACAGCCTTATTCCAAAATGGATTAAATTCATTTATTTCCTCACAGTTCCACACACAATACCCCATAATGACAATGTGAAAAAAAGTTTTTGAAATTGTTGCAAATTTATTAAAAATAAAAAAAAAACTAAAAAAACACATGTACATAAGTATTCACAGCCTTTGCCGTGAAGCTCTACATTGAGCTCAGGTACATTCTGTTTCCACTGATCATTGTTGAAATGTTTCAGCAGCTTAATTGGAGATCACCTGTGGTAAATTCAGTTGATTGGACATGATTTGAAAAGGCATACATCTGTCTACACAAGGTCCTGGGGTTGACAGTGCATGCCAAAGCACAAACCAAGCATGAAGACAAAGGAATTGTATGTAGACCTCAGAGACAGGGTTGTCACGAGGCACAAGACCGGAGAAGGTTACAGAAACATTTCTGCTGCTCTGAAAGTTCCAATAACCACACTGGCCTCCATCATCTGTAATTGGAAGATGTTTGGAACCACCATGACTCTTCCTAGAGCTGGCCGGCCATCTAAGCTGAGTGATTGGGGGAGAAAGTCCTTAGTCAGGGAGGTGATCAATAACCCGATGGTTACTATGTCTGAGCTCTTCTGTGAAGAGAGGAGAACCTTACAGAAGGACAACTATCTGTGCAGCAATCTACTAATCAGACCTGTATTGTTTGAGTGGCCAAACGGAAGCTGCTCCCCACCTGGAATTTGCCAAAAGGAAGGACTCTCAGACCTACTGAAACAAAGTTCTCTGGTCTGATGAGGCATTGGTGTTGGAAGCATCATGCTGTAGGGATGTTTTTCAGCTGCAGGAACTGGAAGACAAGTCAGGATAGGGGGAAAGATGAAGACAGCAATGCCTGCTTCAGAGTGCTCTTGACCACAGACTGGGGTGATGGTTCATACACCAGCAGGAGGATGACCCAAAACACACTGCCAAAATATCAATGGAGTGGTTTCACAACAACTCGGTGAATGACCTTAAGTGGCCCAGCCAGAGCCCAGACCTAAATCCTATTAAACATCTCTGGAGAGATCTAAATATGGCTGTACACCTTTGCTTCCCATCCAACCTGATAAATCTTGAGAGGTACTGCAAAGAGGAATGGGCGAAAATTCCCAAACACAGGTGTGCCAAGCTTGTGGCATCATATTCAAAAAGACTTGAGGTTGTAATTGCTGCTAAATGTGCATCAAAAAAGTATTGAGTACTTGAGTACTGATGGTGTTTAACCATCTGATTATGTACAAATTGGACGATTTACTCATGCAAGGCATGTCCGATGTGAACGCCCAATATATAACGCCCAATTATTAGTTAATTAGTGAGACTAATAGTGGATGTCTATGTTGATCCCAGTATGCAAATGGGAAAACTATGTAAAAAAGCACTGTTGTTTGGATGAGAGATTAAGGCAAAAGTTCTGACTCTCTGTGGTCAATATAAATGGCCTCTTAATAATCCCCATTCTTCGAATGGCTCTGCCACCCCCTATATGCTGTGGTGAATCTGCTGGAGCCTTTGTGCTGTGACTACCATCACATTATCAAAGTGGATTCTGTAGTGAATTACAAACCTGTTTAAATTCCTCATTTATCAATTCTTTCAGATTAAGCTTCATTTACTTCCCTGGTAACCAAAAGTGCCACAGATTACATTTAGATTTTTAATTCCTGTTGTACAACATTTTGCGTAACTCTAAAAGGTCAATTTGGCCTTTGCTATTAAAGCCAGATGGAGCATTATTGCACCTGCAGTGCTTTCACTCCTTGCATAAGAATCAACCTTAAGACGTGTGTACCTGGTGCCTTGTCAAGCCTCCTGACTCTAGCAATCCAATCTGGAGGGAATCACGCATTAGTGGCCTGCTAACTGGTCTGTGACTGGGAGCACTAGACTATACGGCAATTACTGCAGTCCCCGCTCTCATTCAATTTCACACTTTAATAAGCCTCTCCCACAGATTGGACAGTATTGTTCTACAAGAGACAAGATGGAGACCAAATATCCAGCTTAGATTGAGCATGTTATGGTGGATTTATCAAGAATGAGTCTTAGTGGGCGACTGAATGTGGATAGCTTTAAATTGGTCAAGTTGTTTTGTTTTACATTCTGACTGAGTACAAATGCAAACATGTTGAAGTTAATACTGTTTGTTAGCTATACATGTGGGAGGCCTTAAGATGTTCCTTTATCCTCAAAGTGGCCCTTGATTATGATTTCACTTTTTTAACTTTACTTTATAATGTTGCTGTTTGAGCCTATAACATCTGCAAATGGTACAATGCTCAAGGTTCAGTTCAAATGTAGATATTTTATATTACAGAAAGGGATAGTTCAACCAAACTGAAAATTCTGTCTTCATTTCCTCAATCTTCGCTTGTCACAAACCTGTTTAATTTTTTTTTTCTGTTGAACACAAAACAGTTATTTCAAGTTATTTTGGAAAAATTCTGAAAACCTTCTGCCATCGACTTCTATAGTGTTTGTCAATGAAAGCAAAGAGCATGGAATCACCAAGAGGTGACACTCTAGTGCAATTTGTGAAACTGCCATTAGATGGCGCGGCGCGCATTTTGGAATGAAAACTCTGATAGAACAACAGCATATTATAAGTCTGTAAAATAAACTGTTAAAAGTGCTGCAAATTGTGATAGTAAGTGTTGTTTTGTCATCTTTCAGGTTGTATCTCAGCTTTAATGTACTTTTTAGATAAATAAATTAAAAACAAAGCAGCTGCTTGCCATCACGACAGCAATAAGATATAATGGACAGTCGATCACTTTCTTTCCAAAATGGCGGAATCAATAGGTGCTGCTGTTGCAATGTAACGTTCTATTGAGTGTCACTGTCACCTCTTGGTCATTCTATAAGATCTTTGATGGAAGTCAATGGTTACAGATTAAAAAAAGCCTTTTTCAAAACATCTTATTTTGAGTTCAACAAAAAAATGTAAAGTTATAAAGTTATGGAACCATTAGAGAGGGAGTAGAATGAATGAATTTTCATTTTTGGATGAACTATCCCTTTAAAGCCAACCGCACAACAAACATGGATACTGTGGGGACTAAAATGAGCTTCTTCCTGAGTTTAGCTGATTAAAATGTCACTATGATCTGCTTATAAAGATATATCATCCTGTAGCTTGCACCAGTTGTAATTCTGGCTCCTTTCTTTTAATATAATGTACAACTCGACATATATTTACATCAAATATTAACTCAGTGGTAGAGTTATGCTCATGAGATACCTCACTTGTTCATTAGAAAAAAAATACAATAGTGTCATATGCTTTAAAGCCTTGCTGGTTAAACATTATATTCATGTGTTGCTATGCACTTTTTTTTCTGAGTCCACTTCTTATTGTTCTATAATTGTCAAAACCACATGAGATATACATATAATCACATTTGGTTATTGTGTCTAAAGTGAAAGTAATCAGTAAAGAGTACCAATCTTAAAGTGACAGCTGATTAATGAATAAACATGCTGCCTTTGTGGGATAAATCACCTAAAAAATGTATTCAGTCAATATTTCCTCACTCTGATGATGTCCCAGATCTGTATTAATTACTTAATGAACGCAAACGAAGACATATTGAAGAATGTGAGACCAAAAAGTTGCTATCTGTAGTAGAAAAAAAATACTGTGCAAGTCAGTGGGGAGCAGCAACTTTTGGGTTTCCCGGTACTATTCATTTATTCATTTACTTTTTGGCTTAGTCCCTTTATTAATTTGGGGTCGCCACAGGGGAATGAACCGCCAACTTATCCAGCATATGTTTTATGCTGCGGATGCCCTTCAAGCTGCAACCCATCTCTGGGAAACATCCATACACATTTTTTCGCACTCATACACTACGGAAAATTTAGCATACCCAATTCACCTGTACCGCATGCCTTTGGACTGTGCGGGAAACCGGAGCATCCAGAGGAAACCCATGCAAATGCAAGGAGAACATGCTAATTCTACACAGAAACGCCAACTGACCCAGAAACGCCAACAGGCTCGAACCAGCAACCTTTTTGCTGTGGGGCCACTGTGTTGCCCTCCCAGTACCATATTATTTTTTAAAATATCTTATGTTTAGTATAAGAAAAAAAACTCATTCAGGTTTAAAACAACTTTTTAGTGAGCAAATGATGACTTATTTATTTATTTATTTTTTTGATCAACTCTCCTTTTAATGTTAGTAAAACAACAAACCATTTATTTTATTTTTGTTTATTAAATGCTCCTAAATACACCTACTGTACCTTAAACATAAACAGCTGTTTATTTTATTTGTATAGTATATGTGTTTGTAATGTGAATCGTTGTTCTTTATTTTATCTTTATTATTTAAAAAATATATGATAAAGATATTAATCTTTGCCCATTTTGACCTGAATGTCTGCCAATCTTTTTATTATTTATTTTGTTACTGAAATTGTTTTTAAAATAAGAAAATTTGTTTGGCTGTAGGTGGTACAGTGGCTCAGTGGTTAGCCTCACAGCAAAAAGTTTGCTGGTTCAAGTCCAGACTGGCTCAGTTGGCATTTCTATGGGAAGTTTATGTTCTCCCTGTGTTTGTGTGGGTGTCTTCTGGATGCTCCAATTTCCCCCATAGTCCAAAGACATGTGCCATAAGTGAATTAGGTAAAGCAAAATAGCTTGTAGTGTGTGTGTAAGTGTGTG